GAAGTTCTATTCTGTCACACGGAGTCACCCTGCGTCAGAATCGACTGGATGACATACTACAACATCTTAAGGTTGGCATGTTAGAAACTGAATTCTTGATCTTTCCGCCACCTCCATCATCCTTTCTTTTTTTGTTCCCTCACAATCACATCCAGGCCATCTCCAAGTCCCCTTGGCTCTACCTGCAAAACATAACCTGATGGAAGATTTGGAAAAGGATACGGAGAATGGCTGCATAACTTGAAGAACACGATTAGTGTCATTGAATTACACACGGAGAAATTGTTGAATTGATGTATGTTTTGTTGTTTATATTTTCACCACAATTAGAAATAGAAAAGACGCAACCCTGTCAGCTCTCACCACTGCCACTGTTGTTGTCCCCACCGTCCTCTCTCGCCTGGATGACAACAGCTACCAGCCCATCTCCACTTCCATTCCTGCGGCTTCCAATGTGTTCTCCAGCCACAGCTGGAGTGATTGTTTAAAAATATTCATTGGATCGCATCCGATCTTCATTGAAAACCTTCCAAGGGTGTTGGAATCAGAGCCAAAGTCCTCACGGTGGCCCACAAGGCCCTGCACGAACTGGGCCCTGTTGCCTCTTGGACCTCATTGCCTGCCACTCCCACCTCCTCACTCCAAGTGGATCCGGCCACAGTGGCCTCCTCACTCTTTCTCAAACACATCAAGCTCCTTCCTGCTTCAGGGACTTTGCCCTTTGTGGTTGCCTCTCCCTAGGACACTTCCCAGTTCCTCCACTCATTCCTCAGGTGCAATTCAACTGTCACCTCCTCAGGGAGGTTAGGGCTAGTTCCCTGACTGCCCCATCTAACTGACGTCCTGTCATCCTGTTTCATTCCTTCATGGTAGTGTTTGTTTTGTGTGTCTCCCCATAAAAACACAAGCTCCACAAGAACAAGACAACAGAACACACAACTGTGAACTTAGAACAGCCCTGGCACAAAATCGGCCCCATAAGTCCTCCAGTAATGCAATGAGAACAGCGAGTGGACTTCCCCACCCCCTGGGAAGTGCCTGTGAGCATATACGGTGAGGCCAGGCCAGCTGTTCTGATGGGAGGAGATCTCCCAGCATGCAACGAGAACCCTAAAGAGACCTCACCCATCAGCAGGTGGAAGTGAGCTGAGAGGACCACATTCCCAGCATTCAATGGGGCACAGATGGGGCTGTGAGGACCACTTTTTCTTCCATCCAGAGACAGTGTGGGGACTACATTTCCCAGAAGGTAGTGGGTGCACACCGCCCAGAAGACAGTACTCAGCCAACAGTGAAACAGAGCGGACCACATCTCTTAGTACGCCATGGAGATGACAGCCAGGAATAAGGTCACTTTGCAGGTGGTCTGCCTACAAATCTCCAGACAACTCCGTTCCAAGGAAAACAAGAAAGTTGGACAGATGCCCTTCCCAGAAGCCTCTACGCAGGACAGAACTACAAATCCCAGCGTGCAGTAGTCATCCAGTCACAAAGCCATCTGCCCTCACAGCCGGGAATTGGTGGAGACTTAGGCTCCACCCCCAGGTAGCTCTACCCACCTCTCTTTCTATTGGCTCCATCCCTTCTCCTTCTTAGTCCACAGACCCGGCTTGGCTTGCCTTCCCTACCGGAAGTCCATTTAGAATCTTTCCTCCTCCACTCCACCAGCCCCTAGGGCACCCACAGCTGCAGCCTCTACCCTACCATTCTCCTGCTGGCCCCTGGCCTTCACCGTTTTCCGCTTAGTCCCACCTCGACAGTGGACCTTCATCCTCCCAGACCTAACTTTTGCATCCCCTCTTCCTCACCTCCTGGCTGGATACGCCCCTCCTCAAACTCTGCCCCCAATAAAGACCCTGCTCCTTTACTATGAACACCTAGTGGTGCCTGGGAGCCCTGGTGCATAGTGCCTAACGCATTTGACTGCTAACCAGAAGGCTGACGGTTCAAATCTACCAGCTACTCCTCAGAAGGAAAACTGGGCAATCTACTTCCATAGAGATAGCACCTTGGAAACCCAAGGAGGGGTCACTATGAGTCGGAATCGATTTCACCGCACTGAGTTTGGTTTTTTTTGTTTTGTTTTGTTTCACTAGTACCTAGGTCCCACCTTCTACCATGCCTCACCCCTCCTTGGCTAGCCCTGTCCCTTTGCTGATTCACCCCTGCCCTGACTGGCCTCCTCTCCCTAAACTCCATTCCTTTTTTTTTCTATTGTGATTTGGGTGAAAGTTTATAGAGCAAATTCACTTTCCATACAGCAGTTCACCCACACGCTGTCTCCTGACATTGATTACAATTTACCCCAATGCAACAGCTCCCCTCCCACTTCCTCCTGACAGTTACCTCTTCCCTGTGTCCATCCTTCCATGCCATGCCCTCCTGCCCCCTGAACTGTCTCCCTGTGTGTAAACGGCCCTTCTTTCTCCCATGATTGTTCTATCCAAGGAGTGTATCTACCTCAGGTAAATGTTCAACTCCTGTGCCTGTCTTTTGCTTGGCTGGAAGCTACAGATGTGGGTTCAGTTCCAGATAGCCCTGAAGGGCAGCTAGGGGCCATAGTCTCAGTGGTTCCACCAGGCTCTATCAGACCAGCAAACCTGGTCCTCCTCCTTTTTTTTCCCAAATGATTTTGAGTTTTGTTCCACATTGTTCTCCCTCTCTATCCAGGATCTCCTACATAGATCCCCTTCTGAGTGGTTGACATTGGTAGTCGGGCACCATCTAGTTCTTCTGGTCTCATAGTCGTATAGGCTGAGGACTGCATGGTGTACCAGTCGTGAGGACTGATTGTTTCCATTAATCTTCGGTTTTCTTCATTCTTCTTTGCTCTGGACGAGGAGAGACCCATCGTTGCATCTAGATGGCTGCTTGCAAGCTTTTAAGATCCCAGTTGCTACTCGCCAAAGTAGGAGGTGGAACAATGTTTTGTGTAGTATGTTATGCCAATTGAGCTTGATGTCCCCTGGGACTATGGTCCTGAGCCCACAGGTTCAACTACTCGGTCCCTCTGGGTCACAGCTGGCTTGACCAAGAAGTGACTACAACCTTGTCCCTTGTCAGCTCTACTATACCCCTGTAAAGCCCATTCCTTGCTGCCTGCTTCCCCCCACACACTAATGGCTCCTCTTCTTCTCAGACTCCCTTTCTCACTAGGTGGCTCCGTCCTCTCTTCTAGACCCAGGCCCAGACCCCATCCCTCAGTACCTGATACCCTTTTTCCTGGTCCTACCCCTGCCTTCCTGGTTCTTGCCTCCTCGTTAGACTTCACTCCTATTCATTCATTCCATGGAATTGATTCCAATTCATAGTGACCTTTAGGACAGAGTAGAACTGCCCCATAGGGTCTCTAAGGCTGGAAATCTTTATGGAAGCTGACTGCCTCATCTTTCTCCCACGGAGCGGCTGGTGGGTTCAAACCGCCGGCCTTTTGCTTAGCAGCTGGATGCTTTAACCGCTACACCACCAGCGGTCCTTCCACTACTAACTGGACTCCAGTTTTATCCAACCAGCCCTTCATCTCGCTGACCCCAGATCCACTCCTCCTTCAGATCTTGTCCATCTCAGCTACTCCATTTTTTGGACCCAGACCTTGTCCCTCATTGGCTGTCTTGGCCTCGGTGTTATATTCAGCTCCTCCTACTGACTCGCCTCGCCAGCAGATCCTCCCCTACAATGAGGCCCCGCATCCTAGTCCTCCCTATACCCTGACCTTTGATAACTCTCAGCCTTTCTCCAAGATCAAGAACAAGCTTCTAGGTGACTCCCCCCTCTGGGTCATCCCTCCCCCAAACCAGGCCCTTTAACGTAGGTTCCGCCTCTTACCTTCCATCTGGCTCGCCCCACCCCAATGATCAAAGCTCCATACTGCCCACGCCCCTCACATAAGCCCCGCCCATTACCCACCATCTACCCGCCTCTCCTAGGCCCCGCCCCATACCACCCCAGTCCCGCCCCTCTTAGGCCCCGCCCCCACGATCTCCCGGCCCCCTCCCCTCGGAGCCCCGCCTCCGACACTCCCCCGGCCACGCCCCCGCCGCTGACCGCGCGCACCTTGGGCGTGAGCACGAGCGCGGCGCCGCCGTGCACGGCCACGATGGGCAGCGAGGTCTGTGCCGACAGGAAGTCGAGGATGGGCGCGACGGCGGGGGCGCGCGAGTCGTCCTCGAAGACGACGCCGTGCACGCGCAGCCCCGACAGCAGGTCGCAGAGCTGCAGCACCAGGCTG